TGTGTGTGTGTGTGTGTGTGTGTGTGTGTGTGTGTGTGTGTGTGTGTAGGGGTCAAGAGGATGGGCTAGTGATTGCCATCTGCCGTGCAGGAGCTGAGCCGCATGAAGGCCGCTGTGCTCAGTGAACGTGGCCAAGCTGAGGAGGAACTCATCAAAGCCAGGAACCAGGCCCGCTTAGAGGAGGTGAGCTTTGCCCACAAGTAGGCAGAGGCTGGCTGTAGCACCTTGCAAAGGTGTCTGATTGAAGAGGGTAAGACCAGGGCTGGGGGCCTCAGGACTGGAGTTCAGACAGATGCCAGGAGCCAGCAGGGCTGTGGTGCTTCCTATTCTTCACAGACGAGAAGAAGGCTAGAAATGAGTGGTAGAGTTGACTTAGAGTCGACTAGAGGTCCAGGAGTTCAGTGGAGACGCTTCTGGATGCAGGATGAGTTTAGTGACGGGTAGTTGTATGGCACCATGAAGCCCTGTCCTCGGTCCCTGCAGAAGAGGTGGCCAGTTCACTTGCAGACCATCTGTCCCTCTTGAGTTCAGACTGGGAAGCCCTTCCTGTGTAGCAACCATTCCCGTGCCCACAGCAACACCGCCTTGCTCATCTGGAGGAGAAGATTCGGTTGCTGTCACAGGCAAGGGATGAGGCTCAGAGCACCTGCATGCAGCAGAAGCAGATGGTAGCCGAGTCCCAGGCACGGGCCAGCCAGCTGAACCTGCAGATGGAGGGACAGCAGCGGCGTCTGGAGGAGCTGCAACAGGTAATCTGGCATCAAGAGGCACAGACTTCTGGGGTTTACGTCCAGGCTGTGATCTCACAGCCTTCCCAAACCCATTCCAGGAGCTGAGCAACAAGGACCAAGAAAAAATGGCAGAAGTGTCCAGGGTGAGAGCGGAGCTGCAGGAACAGATGGGCCGTATTCAGGCTGACCTGGTGGCCCAGGAGGTGCTGAGGGAGAAGGCGGCAGCCCTGGAGCGTCAACTGAAAGGTTAGCACATGTCACCTGGGCAGCTGAGTTTGGCCCGGGGTGGGGGAGTCTCCCCTCTAAAGACACAGCCCCCCCCCACCTTTTTTCTTTTCTTTTTTTTTTTTGAGACAAGGTTTTGCTCTGTAGCCTGTCTGCCCTATAACTCGCTCTGTAGACCAAGCTGGCCTTTGAACTCAGAGATCTTCATGCCTCTGCCTCCCAAGAGCTATTATTAAAGGCTTGCCACACTACCTCATGGCTGCAGCAAGGCAAGGCCTCTACTACTCCCTCCTTATTGAGCCTCTCTCTTGCAGTGATTGGGAGTGAACACCGGGAGGCGCTGTTGGACAGAGAGAGTGAGAACGCATCTCTCCGAGAGAAGCTGCGGCTCAAAGAGGCAGAAATCTCCCGCATCCGGGACGAAGAGGCCCAGAGGGCAAGCTTCCTGCAAAACGCTGTCTTGGCTTACGTGCAGGGGTCCCCTCTGAGAGCCTTGAGTCCCCCTAAATGAAAGGAGGCGGGGAGAACTGAAGCGCCCAGCGAGGGTTGAAATGCTGCATCCCATTCTCAAGGGCAGGCCTGGGGTCTAAAAGAATCAGCTGCAGTTGAAGAGTAGGATTCGGTCAACATCAGTGCTCAGCTCACACCTGCCCGTCTAAGGTTCATCCACAGCTCACCGTTAGCATAGGTGGGATGAAGCGTACAGGATCGCGCCCAGACGACCCAGTCCCAGAACCACAAACAGGACAATACAGAGGTGGGAGGGAGCAGACCCCCCCAATGACAGAGTGGAAATACAGAACTTTTGTACTTGGTGATACATTCTCGTCCAGTTCCTTTCTGCACCAGTTGTTCCGACCGCGCGAATGACTACTGGGTCGCTTTGATTGCCATCAGGCAACTAGGAAGGCCACCTCTGTAGTGGGTTTTAGACTCGAGGGTTTCTCGGCTGCAGGATGGGCGGGTGTCCCTGGCAAGCATCGGTCTCGGCCGCCCCGGCACATCCATTTCTGTGGCGTCGTCAACCTGAGCTACACCGTGCCACCTCCTTGTTCCTGGGTGTGGACCCTCAGCCTGAGCCTTCGGGGTCCAAGGACTGGCTGGGGCTCCGCCCCCGCCGCAGCTCGCCCCTTGCCCCGCCCCGCCTGCGCGCCACTCGGCTGTCTTCGCACCCGGCACTCGGCGGTGCTCGGCTGTCTCCGGCCGCTCGCTCGGCGTTCGGGTCCGCGGCCGCTGCGGCGCCGGGCATTTCTCCGCAGCTCGGCTCGCGGCCGCGCCCGCCGCCGCCCGGCCCCGCGCCCATGCAGGCCATCAAGTGCGTGGTGGTTGGCGATGGGTGAGTGTGCTGTCTTGAGCCTCAGGGGCGGAGGGGCTGGTAGGCGGCTTCGGGGTGCGGCTCGGCGGGGCGGGGCAGACAGACGCGCGGGGTCCCGGCGAGGCATCTCCGCCGCGCCCCCACCACAGCTCGGCCGCGTGCGTCCAGTGCTTGATGGGGTGGGGTCAAGCTGAAGCTGTCCACCTTCTTCCAGCCCGGGCACACCTGATGCTGCCCGGCCTCTGCCTGGTGCTCCCAGTGGGTGGGGCCGGGCCTCACCTGTGCTGATTCCTGGGTGGCTCCACCCTCGCGCCAGCCACCCAAGGTGCTGGAGCTCTGACGCCCCTATGCGTTGCGGCGCGCCCTATCCAGGCTTGGGAGCCCTTGCAGCCGCGCCCACTACTGTGCTCCCTCGGAGGCTAGCCTGCTCTGGTGGTTTTCTATTAGTCCCAGGTGGCTGCAGATCTGCCGAGCTAACGACCTACCCACCCCACCCCAATCACCCAAACTAACCTCTAGCTCTGTAGGAGCGTGCTGTCCTTGCAGGGGGGTGGGGGGTGAAGAAGGGGCGGAGGCTCCGTCCTGGATCCACGTGGGCTGAACCTCTTTCTACAGTGCCGTGGGGAAGACGTGCCTGCTGATCAGCTACACGACCAACGCCTTCCCCGGAGAATATATCCCCACAGTGTGAGTGCATGGGGATCGGGAGGTAGCTGGAGCTGGCCACTAGAGGCCAGGCGCACGTGTATGGGACCTCCCCAAGGCTCCAGGTCTGGTTCAAGTGACCCTGGTTCTGGGTTTCCATGGTGAGGCTGAGGCGCTGGCCAGAGTTTGGGTTCTGTGTGGGCTCCGGTAGCCTGGCATCCCTGCCCAGCCTAGCTTTTCCACTTTGCAGTTTTGACAACTACTCAGCCAACGTGATGGTGGATGGGAAACCAGTCAACCTGGGGCTGTGGGACACTGCTGGCCAAGAAGACTACGATAGGCTTCGGCCCCTCTCCTATCCTCAAACCGTAGGTGGCAAGAGGACAACTCTGGGAGTAGGGAGGTTCCCAAATGGAGAGGGAACACAGGCTGCTCAGACATCCTTTGTGAGTTCTGTCTGTCTGTCTCTCTCTGAAGGATGTCTTTCTTATCTGCTTCTCCCTGGTGAGCCCGGCCTCCTTTGAGAACGTCCGTGCCAAGGTAGGTGGGCCTAGGCAGAAGGCACACCCACACTGAGCAGGGGTCTCTGCTGAGGGAGGCACTGAAACTGTCAGGGTATCGGGGAGGACAGCTCACCTCTGGCCATGGGCCCTGACAGAGGAGCTGTGGACAGTCTCAAGCCTCCCCGATGAGTATCTTGGTTCACTGCCAAACCCAACGGACTCCTAGTCTGTAAAGCGTGAAGAGCCAAGTGTGTCAGGAAAAAAAGCTCAGGAGCTGAGGCCTTCTTTGGGCAGATTGGAGGCCCTGCCCCTAGGCCTGTAAGGTCAGAACCTCTGTCCCCACAGTGGTACCCAGAGGTGCGGCACCACTGCCCACACACACCCATCCTTCTGGTGGGCACCAAGCTGGACCTCCGCGATGACAAGGATACGATTGAACGGCTGCGGGACAAGAAGCTGGCACCCATCACCTACCCCCAAGGCCTGGCCATGGCCCGAGAGATCGGTGAGTAAGCAGGGGTTGGGGGTATACTTGGAGGAAGTTGCCCTTCCTGTGCTGTACCCCCCC